TAACCACACTGCTCCAGGGCCTGTCGTGTGTGTGATTTCTCTTTCTGCCTGGCTCCTGAGTTTGTAGGGACACTCTGTGGTACAGAGTCCTGATCACTCCTAACTTGTGTTCCAGTGGGTGGTGGGAGTCAAAACGCAAATATTGGTCTGTGTGGGTGGGCTTACGATACACGCCAGTTTCCAACCGTCCTCCATCCGAAACCGGTTTCGGATGCATCGTAATGAATCAAAAAATGTTGGAGGAACAGCTGATCGTTCTGCTGTTGTATTTTAATTTAATTTAATTAATCTTCACATCATTTTACAGCACAAGTTCATCACAGTTTCTCTCATGACCTGGTGGGATTTAAAAAGAAAAATAAGTAAAATTAATGACTGGACCCATGTGTGTTTGTTTAAATACAGAAACACCCAAACCGACTGAAATTTGTAAGGTTTGGTGCATGGTAGCTGCAATTTTTTTTTTTTGCAAAAGCTGCACGTTTGGATGTTGTGCCTTTTGTGCTTTATCCCCCAGTATTTCTTTGTTTCTTTCACCTTCAGCAGCAGGTTTAGTCTCATCTATTTAAGAGATTCAATTTGTCCATTTCTGCCATCTGTAGATCAATCAGATCGAGGTTCTTCTGCAGATTCAGATTTGTTTACATCCAGTGCTTATTGTACATCAGGAAAACTACTAAATCCTAGGAGTTCACAGTAACCTTTTGCTCCATTAGATTTTGCACCGAGTAGCTTTAACTCTAAAAACTGAGAGTCTGAGATATGCAGTATCTGAGCTTTGCTGGGGGGGATCCGATAGGATCCCCCCCAGCAAAGCTCAGATACTGCATATCTCGAAGTGTATCAGTAATACAAGTTAATGATCTCCTTCAGGCATGATAAAAAGATGTAAAAATACAACCAATTACCCTTTTCCCACTCGCTGAAACAAATCATGCAAAAGAAGTGTCGATAAAACTTTACTTTTCTCWGAAAAGTCTCATTTGTGCAAAGGAAGCTTTACAGTTACCTGAGATTAAAGGTTTGCCTTTCTGCATGAAAGTGTCTGGAAAAACTGTCTGAATTTTAAGACTGAAGAATTGTTTTGATCGCGGTCTTCTAGAACAGCAAACATGAGCTGAAAAGGTCTGTGACGTCACCCTTTAAAATACTGATTTTTACAGCTTTGTTGCAACAGATGGAAGCTGCGAACAAAATGGTCAAACTTTTGTTTTGTTCTTGGTTTGAGACGTTAGAAGAGGTTTGAATGAAGCAGCGTCGCTCTGCGATTAGCCTGTTTTAAAGGAGACGTGATGCTTTTGACATTATGGACRTTTTTCAGTCTGGATTTCGCAAATTGCACTCTACAGAAACAGCTTTATTAAAGGTTTCAAGTGACTTGTTGATGGCAGCTGACTCTGGAAACGACACTGTACTGGTTTTATTGGACTTAACTTCAGCGTTTGACACTGGATCACTCTGTTAACAGACTGAGAGATAATGTTGGTATTTCTGGCTCTGTGTTAAACTGGTTCACCTCTTATTTATC